CCCCCCCAAAAATCCAAAAAACTTCAAATATTATGCGTAACACCGCTTCTTATGGGAGCACAATGTTGAAAAAAAGGCTGCATTTCTGCAACTTTTATGGCAGTTTTGCTAGTGTAAGCTCAGTATGGGAGCTAAAAGTTGCACGAAAAGTTCTGCAACTTTTTTTCCGGAGCGAAAAGCTGCAATCTGGCCGAAAAGTTTTGCAGCTTTTCTCGCCTCTTCCCGACTCGAGAAAAGCTGCACGGCGGAATTCATACCGATTCACGTCAAGCTGCTACCCCTACCGCACACGTGGACCCTCTCCAGCATCGATTGTGGGAAGGCTGTGATCATCGACATCTCGATGAAACTTGACGAGCTGCCTCATGAATGGTATCTGGAAGGAGGTAATGCCATGGGCTGTCGGGCAATGCCAAGGTTTGGGGCCGTAAGGTGCTGAATGCGCCGGGAAAAAAGTTTGTGCTGTGCACAACGACCCGTCAACGACCGCGAGCGGTTGGTTCAAGCTCGATGTTTTTGACCGCCACGGGGGTGGTTGTCCACCGATAACTTTCCGAAGGAGGAAGCAACAGCAACAGCAAGGCCGCTCGGTGGGAGGTAGCTCTTTGCTCAATTTTTCATGCCCAACGTTTGGTGCCGTGGGTAATCGTGCGCATCGGGACAAAAAGTTTTGATCGACCCTACAGCAGTACCAACATCAGAGAGCGGCTGATTCAAGTTCGCAGGGATTTTGTGCGCATGGATTGATTTTCCAGCGATAACTTTTCGAAAGGGAAGGCAACAGCAACAGCAATGCCACCCCGAGGGAGCTAGCTCTACCCAGCATCTTTCTGGTACCAGCTTAGATGCCTTGGGGTATCGTGAGTATGGAGAAGAAAGGCTGCAACTACTCTCTTCCACACGCTCTGACCGGTTCTTTCGTGGTGCAATTTGAAAGGCGCGTGCCTTTTCTCGCCATTGTGAAAGAAATATTTATATACGCCTCCGCATTCCGCCAGTTACGTGCACAAACTTTCTTCGTCCAATAAAGGGCGTGCATCAAAAGTGCCGTTGACAAAGTTTGGAAGAAAAGCTGCAGGAAAAGTTTGCAGCTATTCTTGCAACATTGTGCTGCCATAAAAAGCGGTGTGCGCACCTGCTTAAAGCTGGACAAGGTCGCGGTGGGTGTAGTGGGTTTGCATTCACCACGCTTGCGCTCATTACTTTATGTAGTGGTGCACGTTGACGGCGTCCGCATAAAACGATTGCGGAATGTTGCCTTTGGGCGAGCAACCCAAGGGCAAAAAAAACAAACAAACTTGCCAAAGTTTCGGCCACCGCGTTTACCAAAATCCTCAAACGGTTACAGCAAGTACCACACCCGTTAGGAGGGACTCGGGAGATGAGAAACTGCTGTTATGCGTGCGTTTCGTCCACCTCCGGCGCCATGCTACACCTTTCGGTGAGCACATGTTTACACCTTTCGGTGGGCACATGTTTGACGTACAACAGCCGGGGTCACACAGGGAGGAAGGCAACACAAAATGTTGTTGTTATAGTTGACTTTCTCAGAATGACCCAGCGAATCCATCTCTATCGAAGAAAAAAGTCGAATATGGATTAGCAATGAATCGATAGCGTCAGCTCTTCCTACCTTCCTCACCCCTGCCTGCGGTGAAATTGAGGGTCATTCATTTGTGGCTTGATACCAATCAATATGTCAAGTTTTGAAACTTAAACTGATCGCGAACCTCGCGAAATGCAACAAGCTCTTGACTCTAAAAAAACGAAGTGGGTGGCGTGGTATGCACCTCTGTGTGTACCTTCGATTTTATCTGAAGTATCGAATGCGTGGCTCTCCCGCTGGAGGTATTTGGGCAAGCCCTAATGCGACCGAAGGCGTTTGTGCAACCAGGACTGGTATACTAGGTGGCGAAGGACGATCCCAGTCCGCACATCCCGCTGGTCCTATGCTTTGCGTAAGTGATTTCGGTATTCCTTCCCATCCGCATTGCAAACCCAATTGGGGGCAGGGTTGGTGGGCTAAAGGCGACAAGTTGAAGCAGGAAAAATTGTCACGTCCACATCCCACGGCTGTTACGATGCATGCCAGAGACAAACCGGGGCTGCCCCCGTGCGTAACACCGTCCTATCCGCTACATATCCGTGCGACAAATCGTGCATGATGACTCTCTGGCTTCAACACTACACATACGGGACACAGGTAGCAGTTGGTATCATATTAGACTATTTTTTCCCCTGAACAGCAGCAGTGCATTGCACGCGCAGGGTGCGACATCTCCAATCTTAACAGAGCACACCATACCTCCCACCGCTGCAAACGCGGCCGCGTTGGCCATAGCCGCGAAGGCCAGGCGCCGCCCGCCCCCGGGCACCAGAACCCTCAGTCCCATCGAGGGCGATGTTGAAACCGCACCAGCGGCAGCGGTGCAACCAGAGGCGGAGGAGACGCCCCCATGTGCCGCTATTCGTCGCCGACCACGGCTCGCGCAGCCAAGAAACTGCGAAGTTGGTGCAAAAGCGACACCTTGCTGCTGCTGCTGCTGCTGCTGCGTCGACGAGTGTGCCCTTGAGCAGGGCCATCTACTGCTGCAGGGACGTGCCGCACGGGCTCCCGACATGGTCGTTACTGCTGCTGGCGAGACGAAGCCCCGCGCCCTTGTCGCCAGGACTAGGACCACCCCCGCGGCGAGCGTCCTTGCTATGGCGACCAACATCCTTCCCCTGCTGTTGCGCCGGCTCCCTGCGTGTCGGGGCGCGTATAGGTTTAACAGCGGATGAACAGACGCACAAACACATAGAGGTGTGCTCATAGAGCAAAGGTGAGCGGTGCAGGAGCCACATGGTGGCCACGGCAACGCCAAAACTGGATCGTACATGAGCATCAACTTTGTAGGAGCCATATATTTGCTAACAACGAACAGGGGCGTCATGCATGCCCATGGGTCTCACTGTTGCCCCACAGGTGGTTCTGACTCCTGTCGCGACTGGTGCTTCAAGTGATACAGCAGCGGACAGCATGGTAGCTCTGCCATCGCAATGCAAGTTTACATGGGTTCCTTCAGAGAGAGGTACACGACGCAGACAGCAGTGACTTCTCTCACGTTCGGCCGCGTGTCACAAGAACCGAGCTCAGGCACAGCGGGACAAGAAAACAGTAGTCGCTCGAAATTCTCTTGCCTCCTTCCTATCCTGTAATTCCTTGCTCTCCTCCTGGAAGCTAGCTGTCCAAGCAATGTGCGTGTTGCATGTCAGCACGTCGCACGACTTGATAACCAAACCAACCGACAACGGAGAGGAGAGCGGGGGAGATAATTACACACCCACAGTGTCGGACTCTGATATTGCGTTCCCCCTGATATTGCGTTCCCCCTGATATTGCGTTTCCCCCTGCAAGATATGCCTATCATGATACACTCACACTCGCGAGAAGAAGAGACAACACTGAAAACAAAGCCCCCGCCGTTGAAAAAGCGAGGACGGTTCGCCTAGTTCCCCATGAGCCTCTCTCTGCCCTTCGAGTCTGCTTACACGGCATCGGTAGCAACAATGGAGCCACAGCGAAAATCCCCCCCTCGCCGATCGCCAAGGCTCGCCGTGCTCGACCGACACCCAACAGCGGTATCACCAACAGCAACAGCATCACCCATTGCGGCGAGCTCGAACAAGAGGAGCATAGAAGAAGTCCATGGCAATGGTAGCAGTGGTAACGTTGGCGGTGGCAACCACGGTGGGGACCCGGCCGCTATGCCCGAAGCCAAGGCCTACTCGGTAACAAGGTCAGGGAAGAGAAGCGGGCAAAAAGACATCGACAACAACGTCGGCGTCCGCCAACAGCTTGCCGCAGCAGCAACAACAGCAGAAGCCAAATCTTCGGCAACACGGTCCAGCAAGAGGAGCAGCCATGGGCCCGACGAAGGGAGCAACAGGGTCAGCGGCCAACATCAGGTTGCCGATGTAGCAACAGCAGCAGGGTTCAACGCCGCAACAGCTGGATTCAAAACAACCTCGGCGACAACAAGGTCGAGCCAAGACATTGACGACAACTGCGTCCAGGACAGCGGTAAAAGCCAACATGTCGTCGCAGCAGCGCGACCAGTGGTCGAAGCCCCGGCGACAAGAAGCTCGAGCACGAAAATCAGCCCAGACGTAGACGAGGAGAGCAACACCGGCACGCCAGGAGGAGGCGGTACCTCGGTGGCAGCAAGCTTCAACGAAAGAAGCGGGTCACAGGTTGCTGTAGCAGCACCAGCTGTAGCCAGCGCCTCGGCTAGGAGCTCCGGTGAGAGGAGAAGCAGTCCGGAAATCGACACAGGCAACGAGGGCGGCGGCCATGAACAGATTTTCGCTGCAGCACCAGCAACGTTCGCACCGACGAGAGGCAGCCGTCAACACCCTCGCCAGGAGGACAACAACGGCGGAGAGGTTCTTGAAGCACCAGAAACCGAGGCCTTGGCGACAAGCTCGCCCAAGAGGAGCATCCCTGATGCCACGAAAGGGGAGAGCAACAGTACTATCACGACCGACACCACCACCATCAGCGAAAATATGGCGATCCTCCGGCAGGTGCAAGCGGACCTTGTTGAGGCTGTGTACAGGTGTGAAGAGCTGCTGGGCAACATGGAGGAGGACCTGCTGATGCGGCAGCCCAACGCCATGAGCGTAGCCAGCGTTGCCCAGGTACACACACATAACCTCAAGGTGCGTTCCGTTGTGCAGCAGAGTGCGATACACGTCCCAATGGTCGTCCGGTTCCACCACTCAACACCATTTGTTCGTAGACCTCTCCCCGCCGCCGCCCTCTCTCCACGACCCACTCCATGTAGACTATGTGGGATATTATACATGTGTAAGAGGGTGGAGCTCCAGCTGGAGAGGGACTCCGTAGTAACTTGAACCAGGGGGAGAGCAACAAATGAAACGCTTGCACGAATAACGAGACATCTGAACTATTGGGGG